GAGAAGAGAGGGGGGAGGGGGAGGAGATTGGGGGGAGGGGGAGGGAAATGGGAGGCTGGGAGGAGGCGGAAACTTTTTTTTCTTATTCTCAATTAAAAAAAAAAAAAGAATATTGAATGAAAAGCAGCATTAGACAGTGGAATGATCAACACTTTCTAAGTCATGAGCTCACTGAAGAAGGTAGAAGCAAAATCACAGCTACCACAACAATGTGCAGTAGGAGAAGAGGAAAAGGTTAAAATTATTAGTGTATCTTAGAAATGAAGGATCATGCCACACTGCCAACTCTACTGTGGATATTTCTAATCTGAATGACAGCTGCAAAATGAACGCTCCAGAGGCTTCAGCATTTGTATGAAGATGGTAATGTTGGCATGAGGAATATTTATTCAGAAGGGTAATGCATACAGTAAAGAGGCCAGCAGAATGGTGTGGATAAAGGTAAAAATCCAAAGAATGAGTAACTCCTTTAGAAAAAGGAATAGATGGAAATAAAAATCTTAGTGGTGCTCAGAATTAAAGGGGCCTAATGATAGAGAGAAAAATGAGGGGCACTAGAGGATGTCCAGACACTTCCATAAGGACATCTTCAAGCCAAGCATGTCCATGGAGAACATTGTCCTTATCCAAGAACTTTTAGAATAACTCTAAGTAGTTATTCAGGCTAGAAATTGAAACCAAGCAAACAGCTTTAAACAAGCTGTTATATAAAGAAAAATCCTAAAAGCTGGAGTCTGGAGAATTGTAACAATATGCAGTGTCCAATAAGAGTAAAATTCAAATAGGTATTAGAACAAAATAGCCCCATATAAACATAGAATCTAGTATACCTATCACAAATTCTACATGTTCTGCATATATAACATCATTTCCTCAAAGGAAGAAAAATCAATAATAATTGTTTGGGCATAAATTTGTATTCAATTATAATTCCTCTTTATTCAACCCATCTAACACACAGTTTGGAGATAGAAGGAAATAAATTTCCTAACTTAGACAATTCTTTAAATTATAGATGATGGAAGACTCACTCCAACAGCATGAAATTACAAGATATTTACCATGAAAAAAATGACATTTTATACGGGATTATCTATGTTTTGCCCATTTTCTATAATAAATATGTATTTTAAGAAATATGTAAGACTCAGTGTATAAGTATTTGCTTTTGTAAACATAAGAAAGAAAAATAATAGTGCCAACAAGCATATTACCTTCATGAGAATTGTAATGTAGTTTAGCTTGTACATTCTTTGTAGATTTTAAAAACTCACTTCAATCAAAATCAGAAACTTTTCAACATAAGCCACATATTCAACACATTTGTCATGTGACCTGCTTGATGTGCGAAAGACTTCAAAATGTCCCAAATAAATACTAGTAAAAACTGTAACTAGTTTTTACTAGTTACAATAACTAGTACTCTAACTAGTACTGCTTTATTTGATTTTTAAACTATAATAAGCAATATATCACATGATATATCATCAAATAATAATGTGCAAGAGGATATTATATTATTTATTTATTTTGATAAAATTACCGTATCTACTTAAGGTATTTCTATAGATTTCCTAAATTTTACTTCCATACTTATAAAAGAAATCTTTGTATTTTTTAAGAAAGGGTTTCCCTGTGTAACAGTCCAGACCGGCCTGGAACTCCCTTTTTAGACCAGGCTGGCCTCAAACTTACAGAGATCCACCTGCTCTTAGCTTCTTAGTGCTGTGACTTAAGGCGTGTGCCACCACTGCTTGACTTAAAAAAAATCTTTTTAAAATTGTATTTTCTATTATTCATGTGTATATGCATGTGCTACTTTAATTTTTGGGCATATGCATTCATATATCTATGAAAGGTACAGACCAGAATAGGGTATCAGGTCCTTTCAAACTACAGTTATAGGTAGATGTAAGCCACCAGATGTTGGTGCAGCAAACCAAACTTTGGTCCCATTTTTTTTGTTTGTTTTTGTGGTGAATATTTATTCAAAACATTTTTAACTCTTTATCCTACAACTTGGTTATAGCTCTTGAAACCTAATTCCCCCCAATAATGACAAGCAAACTACTACACCAGACATTTACCCTCTGAGAACACACAATTCACGTTCTCATTTATCCTACTCTTTGACTGGCTCCAATCTCTCAGGCGATCTGTCTGGTACCTAGGATGGGAAGTAATTAGAAGATGGCTCTTCGTCAATAGCCTTGATACTGATAAACATATAAATGAACATAGCAGAGTGTGAGTCTTGAAGCAGTCATTGTTGTTGTTTTGTTTTGCCTTGTTTCTTTATGCAGCACTTAGGAGGTCAAGGCACATTGATCTCTTTGTGAGTCTGAGGACATCCTGAACTATGTAGAGAGTTTCAGGACAGCCAAGGTGACACAGTGAGACTCTGTCTAAAGACCAAACCCTGCAGAAGACACTTGGAGAAAAGATCAGAA